GGGGCCGAGAGGAGAACCGCGGTTTGCGAAACTGCCGATACCTCTGCAAACTAGCCTCACGAGTGAAACTTCCGATTGCAGAGACAAGCTAACAGGTTTCCTCCAATCATGAGCCTTATGTAGCCAACGTCAGCTGATGCTGCTGAGAGCGTGTAGCCAGTGCCCAGATGCAACAGGGAGCCCATAAAAATGTCAGAAAACCCAAAAAATACCGGTACCATTAAGCGTCTGTCTTACTCTGCAAAATGTAAACTAGATGTAATCAGTTATGGAAAATATTGATTTCTGAATTTTGAGTAAGAAAAGTGGGGGGCGTCCTATACATGGGGGCGTCTTATAGACGGAAAAATACGGTAGTCTCCTATAATATTTAATCAAAACAAACTATGTTTGCACAGTTAATGGCATGCCCATCAAAAACCCAATCACATCATTTCAAGAAATCATGATCAAATAACCACAGATAAATTCAACATGATCTCTCTCCAATAGGCAGTATTGTTAAGCAAAATGTCTTTGATATCCCTTAAATGCGTTTTAAAAACATTTGTTTTAAATTGCGTTTGTTTTGTAACATTTGTATATTAGAAAATCATACGGGTATCATCCTCTGTTTTTAGCTCTAAGGCCTCGTTCAGACACAACGCAAGAGCAAAATTGTATATACGCGTACATGTGCGTATATATGCGTGCACTATATGCAATCCCAGAATGCATCATTCATAATAGAAATTTTAATGAACTGTACTTGCGAACGTGCATGCGCGTAAAATACGCAGAAATAAGGACGCATCTCGGTTCTATTCTGTTTTTACGCCACGCAAATATACTGCTCCATACGCAGCTATGTGAATGGAGCCATTTATTTGCATATGCTGCATGTGGTACAATATGCGCGGCAGTTTAAATGAGGCCCAGGCCCGTCTTTAATACTGATCGGATCCTGGATTTCTTGCCCCCCCCCCCCCCAGGAATTTCTCTCACCTCCCCAACACCCAGAAAAGAAAAAAAACAGCACACATAGATCATAGACTTCTCAAAAAAATGTCAAACCGATTGCAAGCTCAGCCGTTTATATTAGGGATGCACCGATCGGGCGCCGAAACATATCGGCCGTAAATGCCACTTTTGGCATAATGCCGAAAGTGCCATTTCCCCTACCAGGGCTATGTGGGGTCTCACCACATAGCTTCCACAACCCCAGCGTCAGGCCCTTCTTCAACCTTGGGCACCAGCTGCTTGGTACTCCTGTGATCAGAGGCGGCTCTAGAGTTGTCTCACCAGTCCTGGTAAACCCCACAGAGCCCTGGTGAGAACATACAAAGCCCTGGTTTAACCAGGGCTCTGGGGGGTCTCACCAGGGCTCTGAGGGGACTGGTTAGACCACACAAAGCCTGGTAAAACCCAACAGAGCCCTGGTTAAGCCAGGGCTCTGTAGGGTCTCGCCAGGGCTCTGTAGGGTCTAACCAGCTTGGTTAGACCCCACAAGGCCCTGGTGAGAGCCCAAAGAGCCCTGGTGAAATCCCAAAGAGCCCTTCAGAGCTCTATAGGGTCTCATCAGGACTTTGTAGGGTCCCAACAGGGCTCTGTGGGGTTTAACCAGGGCTGGTGAGACCCCACAGAGCCCTGGTGAGACCCCGCAGAGGCCTGGCTAAACCAGGGCTCTGTGGGGGCCTCACCAGGGTAGCAGGCCTGTGGGGGGTCTCACCAGGGCACTGTGGGGTCTAACCAGCCTTGTTAGACCCCACAGAGCCCTAGTGAGACCCCACAGGGCCCTGGTTAAACCAGCGCTCTCCACAGCGCTCTCCTCAGGGCTCTCCAGGCCGCCACTCACCAGTACTGTGCTGGCCGTGTCTCGGGGGCGGGAGCTGGCAGGAGCGTGCAGGACCAGCCGGTGCCGACATAGTCTCCATCTGCTGCTGAAGATAAACTCCAAACTCCCAGCCAGAGATCCTCGTGTGGTGGATGGGAGGGGTGAGGTCTCTTCTCATTGGCTGGTGGGCAGAGCTCCAGAAGACCGAGTGGATGGACCGTACAGACGATCGAGGAAACGTATGAGCGCTCAGCCCTGTCACTGTCAAACTGAGAGTCTCAGTTTGACAGCGGCAGGGCTGAGAGCTCACAACGTTACCTGACTGCGAGCGAGGTGATGTGCTGTTCCGACAGGGCAAACAAGGCGCCCCTATTATTCATAGGGGCGTCGGGCCCCTAGGAATAATAGGGGCCCGACGCTGAAGTGCTGTCCTCTGCAAAGGCTCCCCACCTCAGCGTCGAGCCCCTATTATTCAGCCTTGGGCACCAGCTGCTTGCTGCTACTGTGCTGGTGCAGAATCAGCACAGTAGCAGCAAGCAGGTGGTGCCAAAGGCTGAATAGGGGTCCGACGCTGGGGTGAGGGAAGCCTTTGCAGAGAACAGCTGCTGTCCTCTGCAAAGGCTTGCCCTACCCTCACCCCAGGGTCGGGCCCCTATTCAGTCTTGGACACAAGGCCAGCTGCTTGCTTTTACTGTGGTGATCTCTGCAGAAAGCCTCCCCCCCGCGTCGGCCATATAAGCTAAGCTGCTGTGCTGTCCCCCCCAGCCCCAGGTCAGACACCAAGCCTCAATTGCTGCTATCCCCCAGCCAGCCCCAGACTCATCTCACTCAGCAGCTGCTGCTGTTCCCTGTTCCCTTCCCCCCAGCTCAAGATCATTGCTGGCTTACCTTACCAGTGCAGTGACTTGACTACACACAGGCTCTGACGCTCAGCCTCCAGCTGTGAGAGCTCCGCGGCTGCCCCTGAGGAAAGAAAACCCTTCCTGCATGTGGGCAGGAAGGTACCAAAACATCACATTGGATGGGGGGTTTGGGACGTACCAACTGTTCCGTACGAGTCGTTTCCTGTGCTGATTCTACGGTACGACCGCGGCGGTACGGACACCTTGCCGATCCCTGCTCTACGCGGGCGGGGGAGGAGCTACACCTTTAGGATGCGATCGTGCAGATCGCATAGGACAACAATACGTTATGGCAGTGCCGTATGCGGCTGCCATAACGTATTATACTATGCGATCCGATCGGCAAGTTTCTGCGGGCAGCGGGCTCAAGGGGCAGCTGCTTTGGGCCCCACAGCCATGAATGGGCACGGGGCAAGCGCCCTCTTTGCCCCGCATTAAAGACGGCCCTGATGAGGCCTAATAGTTGAACAGGGTTTTTTTATTGCAGGCTGGCTGCTGAGTGTGCTGGAATATTTTTGCTTTTGTAGCATGTAAAGCCCTTAAATTTGCACATTGCTTTAAAGCTAGTTATAAATTGGTGAGTGCGTTTGCCATTTGTTTCACTTGTTGGATTGTGGGGACACACTGGGGGCTTCAGTTGCCATTGTTATGTGCTGGGCTTCTGGTGTGTCCCTGTGCCATTAAGGAGTAATGGGCTTCCTCCTGGCGACCCTGCACCCCATTCATCCTTTGCTATACAGTGAGGAAAATAATTATTTGATCCCCTGCAGATTTTGTAAGTTTGCCCACTTACAAAGAAAGGAAAGGTCTATAATTTTTATTATAGGTGTATTTTAAATGATAGAGACAGAATATCAACCAAAAATCCAGAAAAAACACATGATACAAATGTTCTAAACTGAGTTGCAGTTCAGTGAGTAACATAAGTATTTGATCCCCTACCAACCAACAATAATTCTGGCTCCTCCCACAGACTGGCTATCTGGTACACAGATTAGTCCTACCTTTTTAAGGAGGTGCTCCTGACAACTCGTTATGTATATAAAAGACACCTGTCCACAAAATCTTTCTTCCATTCAAACCTCACCACCATGTGCAAGACTAAAGAGCTGTCAAAAAGACGTTGGGGACAAGATTGTAGACCTACGCAAGGCTGGAATGGGCTTCAAGACTATCAGCAAGAAGCTTGGTGAGGAGGAAACAACTGTTGGCGCGATTATTGGGAAATGGAAGGCATACAAAATAGCCATCAATCGCCCTCGGTCTGGAACGCCATGCAAGATTTGGCCTCATGGGGTAAGGATGATCATGAGAAAAGTGAGGGATCGGCCCAAAACTACACAGGAGGAGCTTGTGATTGATCTTAAGGCAGTTGGGAGCATAGTCACCAAACAAACTATTCGTAACACAATACACCACCATTGATTGAGATCCTGTAGCACCCGTAAGGTCCCCCTCCTCAAGAAGGCACATGTACAGGCCCATCTGAAGTTTGCCAATGAACATCTAAATGATTCAGAGAAGGATTTGGAGAAAGTGCTGTGGTCAGATGAGACCAAAATTAAGCTCTTTGGCATCAACTTGACGACGTGTTTGGGGGAACAAAAATGCTGACTATGACCCTAAGAACACCATCCCTACAGTTAAGCATGGAGGTGGAAACATTATGCTTTGGGGCTGTTTCTCTACTAAAGGTACAGGCTGACTTTCCTGCATTGAGGGGCCAATGGGACGAGGCCATGTATGGTAAAATCTTGGACGAGAACCTCCTTACCTCAGCCAGAACACTGAAGATGGGTTGTGGATGGGTCTTTCAGCATGACAATGACCCAAAACATACCGCCAAGGCAACAAAGCAGTGGTTTAAGAAGAAGCACATTAAGGTCATGGAGTGGCCTAGCCAGTCTCCAGACCTTAATCCTATAGAAAATTTATGGAGGGAGCTGAAACTTCAAGAGACAGCCAAGAAACCTTAAGGATTTAGAGAAGATCTGTAAAGAAGAGTGGACCAAAATCCCTCCTGAGATGTGTGCAAACCTGGTAACCAACTACGAGAAATGTCTTACCTCTGTGCTTGCCAACAAGGGTTTCTCCACCAAGTGCTTAGTCATGTTTTGCTTGGGGATCAAATACTTTTTTTACTCACTGAACTGCAACTCGATCTGCAGTTTGTGGAGTGTTTCCCCTGAAAGAGTAGTTACCTTGCTGTTATGAGGACTCTTTCAATAACGACTCTTGCTTTTACTTAGAGGCTACTTTTGAGTCACTTACCAAGAACAAGATTGCATATATGGACATCAATACTTCTAGAACGAGAACAAGCATCCTTATCAGAAAAGGCAGACATCCGAGGGCCAGCAACTTTTTTTTTCATGCAGATTTGTATTACTGTTTGAGGCATGGGAATAAAATGAATAGCATTTCTCACAAAAATTGTGTCTCAGCTGGGCACATATTTGCATTGTAACTGGTGTCTGGCAGAGTTCTTTCCATACATGTGAGAAATATACACTATATTGCCAAAAGTATTGGGACGCCTGCCTTTACATGCACATGAACTTTAATGGCATCCCAGTCTTTGTCCGTAGGGTTCAATATTGAGTTGGCCCACCCTTTGCCGCTGGAACAGCAACTCTTCTGGGAAGGCGTCCAGAAGGTTTTGTCTATGGAAATGTTTGACCACTCTTCCAGAAGCGCATTTGTGAGCTCAGGTACTGATGTTGGAGGAGAAGGCCGGGCTCGCAGTCTACGCTCTAATTCATCCGAAAAGGTGTTCTATCAGGTTAAGGTCAGGACTCTGTGCAGGCCAGTCAAGTTCCTCCACCCCAAACTCGGTCATCCAAGTCTTTATGGACCTTGCTTTGTGCACTGGTGTGCAGTCATGTTGGAACAGGAAGGGGCCATCCCAAAACTGTTCCCACAAAGTTGGGAGCATTAAATTGTCCAAAATGTCTTGGTTTGCTGATGCCTTAAGAGTTCCCCTTACTGGAACTAAGGGACCAAGCCCAACCCCTGAAAAACAACCCCACACCATAATCCCCCCTCCAAGAAACTTTACACTAAGAAGCACATTAAGGTCATGGAGTGGCCTAGCCAGTCTCCAGACCTTAATCCTATAGAAAATTTATGGAGGGAGCTGAAACTTCAAGAGACAGCCAAGAAACCTTAAGGATTTAGAGAAGATCTGTAAAGAAGAGTGGACCAAAATCCCTCCTGAGATGTGTGCAAACCTGGTAACCAACTACGAGAAATGTCTTACCTCTGTGCTTGCCAACAAGGGTTTCTCCACCAAGTGCTTAGTCATGTTTTGCTTGGGGATCAAATACTTTTTTTACTCACTGAACTGCAACTCGATCTGCAGTTTGTGGAGTGTTTCCCCTGAAAGAGTAGTTACCTTGCTGTTATGAGGACTCTTTCAATAACGACTCTTGCTTTTACTTAGAGGCTACTTTTGAGTCACTTACCAAGAACAAGATTGCATATATGGACATCAATACTTCTAGAACGAGAACAAGCATCCTTATCAGAAAAGGCAGACATCCGAGGGCCAGCAACTTTTTTTTTCATGCAGATTTGTATTACTGTTTGAGGCATGGGAATAAAATGAATAGCATTTCTCACAAAAATTGTGTCTCAGCTGGGCACATATTTGCATTGTAACTGGTGTCTGGCAGAGTTCTTTCCATACATGTGAGAAATATACACTATATTGCCAAAAGTATTGGGACGCCTGCCTTTACATGCACATGAACTTTAATGGCATCCCAGTCTTTGTCCGTAGGGTTCAATATTGAGTTGGCCCACCCTTTGCCGCTGGAACAGCAACTCTTCTGGGAAGGCGTCCAGAAGGTTTTGTCTATGGAAATGTTTGACCACTCTTCCAGAAGCGCATTTGTGAGCTCAGGTACTGATGTTGGAGGAGAAGGCCGGGCTCGCAGTCTACGCTCTAATTCATCCGAAAAGGTGTTCTATCAGGTTAAGGTCAGGACTCTGTGCAGGCCAGTCAAGTTCCTCCACCCCAAACTCGGTCATCCAAGTCTTTATGGACCTTGCTTTGTGCACTGGTGTGCAGTCATGTTGGAACAGGAAGGGGCCATCCCAAAACTGTTCCCACAAAGTTGGGAGCATTAAATTGTCCAAAATGTCTTGGTTTGCTGATGCCTTAAGAGTTCCCCTTACTGGAACTAAGGGACCAAGCCCAACCCCTGAAAAACAACCCCACACCATAATCCCCCCTCCAAGAAACTTTACACTTGGCACAATGCAGTCAGGCAAGTACTGTTCTCCAGGCAACTGCCAAACCCAGACACATACATTGGTTTGCTAGACAGGAAAGCGTGATTCGTCACTCCAGAGAACACGTCTCCACTTCTCTAGAGTCCAGTGGCGGCGTGCTTTACACCACTGAATCTGTCGCTTTGCATTGCACTTGGTGATGTAAGACTTGGATGCAGCTGCTCGCCCATGGAGACCCATTCCATGAAGCTCCCTATGCACTGTTGTTGTGCAAATCAGAAGGCCACACTAGGTTTGGAGGTCTGTAGCTATTGACTCTGCAGACAGTTGGCGACTTCTGCACACTGTGCGCTTCAGCATGCGCTGACCCCGCTGTGTCATTTTACGTGGCCTATCACTTTGTGGCTGAGTTGCTGTTGTTCCCAGTTGTTTCCACTTTGTTATAATACCACTAACAGTTGACCGTGGAATATTTAGTAGCAGGGAAATTTAATGGAACACCTGAATCCAATGATTTGGAGGGGTGTCCCAATACTTTTGGCAATATAGTGTATGTTGTTGCAATGTGTATGAGCACTAATCATGAAAACAGCTACTGCGAACTTAGGTCCCATGAGTTGTAACTACCCTGTTTCTCTGCAGTATTTTACTAATGCAGTGGAATGCTCAACCCTATACAAATCTGAGTACAGTGATACGTTTTTGAAATCAAGCTTTTAGGTTATGGAAGAAACGGATCATTTTCATCTCAAATATTTTCTGAAGTTGCCTTATCAAAGCAGACACTGAAGATGGAAAATCTTTTAGTTTGCCAAGAAATAATTCCAGATACAACATTCAGAGAAATGTTTTATTACTCAAAGTAATCTCTTCCCATGTCCTCACAGCTACAACTTCTTACAGTTCTAACATTCTGTATTGACAGCATCTGCACTAAACCCACAGGTAAAGAGAATACAAACAAGGACAGAGTTAGCCAGTAGATTTATAATTATCAGATCCAACACTGGCAATGCTGTCAGATGGAGATGCTGTTTTCTATCACACTCGGGTCTAGGTATGGGTATGGCAGATGCATGGTTTTGTTTCTCTCCTGGATGAATTTGGAGATCTCAGCCAGTTTATCCTGGAATTCCTTAATGAACTGCTGTGGGGTCTCCTCTGTAAAACGTACATCAGGGTAATGTCCGAGAGGCCTCTGTAAAGATGGGGACCTTGCTGAGATTATCAACACAATATTGAATAATCCTTAGAACATTTGAAAACAATTTCATTAAATGTACTGCAAGCAAGAAGGTTCTGTGACATGAATTATACTGTAGGTTATACTGTTCATCTCAGAAGCACAAGGCATGTATATGGCCTCTAGTTGGTCCCTGGTACTCACCCTATCCAAGGGCTCATTGCTGAGTGCCCAAACAGATGCCATGCCAGTAGCAGTAGTATTCACATCAGGCAATACGTACAGAATAGCTTGCATTGTAGTGGCACCTTTAATGGAGGGTGGGGGGCTCTTCATGGAGGTGGGACCATTGGGCATCCAAGAATAGATGTCAAACTGCAGAGGAGAGGGACAAACGATCAAATTATGTTGATTCAAATGGAAAGATCCCTTTCCTTCAGACAGTCTGAAACAATGCCTGCCACATCATTCACAATGGGCTTTTTTAGCTTTGTTTTTCTAGGGCCACTTTGTCATCCATTTCACAGCTCTGTGTGGCAGCTGCAAAATTAGAGTTGTAAGAGCTACCTAAGGGATGGCTTTCTTTTCCTATACCCACCACCTGATGAGATCATGATAGTATAGGTATGTAATGTCAAAGCCCTGATAGTTTTGAGGTTGAAGTTAAATTTGATGCTAGAAGAAAGGAGTGTGCCTAGGTATTGACAGACACACACACACACACACACACATGCACACACTACTACTACCACCACTTTGGTCCACTTTGAGACTATCACAGTGAATGCAGTGTCATAATAGTTAAAGCATCCTTAACAACAAGTGATCATTATAAGTTACCTATGAAAAGGTACAGGGTAACAAAGACTGATCTGCTCATATTTAGGATGTGTGACCGCAAAAGATAATAATCAGTGGTTGAAATTGAAAAATGATCATCAAGGAACTTGAACAATTCAAGGTCTCTATCATGCAGCTGTGGCATGTTTTAAATAGAAAATATGTAGGTCTAAGATTGTTGAAAAAACTACATTGCACTTTGGAAAAAGACTTGTCAGCATTGAGCGCACAACTACATAAGTAAAGCTAAATAAAGTAACAAATTAGCATTTTCCTAAAGAGAAAATGCTATGAGCAGGCTTATGCAGAATGCACATATTGCTAGTATAAATACAACCCAAAGCACACAACAGCTGTCACAGAAAAGCCACAATACAACGCAGACTGGAGATCTCTTCATGATCCTTCACATATTGCTGAACCCACGACCTTAACAATGTGTTTGATGTTTGAAGACAAGCTGATGCAGATAGTTTTTATCTACAGTCCTTAACTCTTAATAGATATTTGATTTACTGCCATACCATGTTAAATTGCCAATGATGCAGGGAATTGCAGTCCTAGACTAGTGATTGAAGTGCTGGAACAGTAAAGGCAGTAACCAGTGCCATACCACTCACCTGACCACTGTTGACAGCTGCATGCTGAGCAGAACATGTAAAGATCACCATGGCCAGGTACCTGATCAAAGAGGCCTTGGAATTCAAGGAACATGGGATGTCTGTCATGAGAGAGACACATTATAGGTTCTATGATTCCCCACACCCATTAAGTTCTCAGCAACTATGCACTTTTGCAGGTAACCTCACATGTAAAATTGAAGTTGTCAGTCTCCCAGCATGGTTCATCTACCTATAAGTTTTCACAAAACTAACAAAAGACAAATGTAATGCAGAGTCCTTTGGGTAGTAGCCTTAGTCATCCGTTTAAGATACAACAATACAACAGTTTTCCATAAGACTGAAATACATAGGCAGTCTCACAACATTGTCCAGCCACAGAATCCTGTGTCTTTGAAAGCTATTACAGGAGAGGTCACCTACAGAATTCTAGAGTGAAATCATACCTGAAGACTTATGTTCAAGAAACCCTTCTTTGAAGATCTCATCCACCCAGGCCTGAAGTTCAGGGTCTTCACTGACCATTTCATCACTTGTATAATAGTAATTAACAATGCTTGACACAAAGCTAGAAAGGACAAAAGAATCCAAGATTGAAGAAAGCTTTTTGGAGACTTTAGTGGCCTTTAGAAATAAGACCAGTAATTAGCAGTAAAGTACACACGATCTCTACCTCTCCACAGCTGACCAGATCTTCATGCCATCTTCTCTGTACAGGTAATTAGGGATGGACTCCATTCCTCTGCCCTCAATGTTATCAGGAAGACAAAGGCTGCTATAGGTCACCCCTTTCATGGCTCTTTCCAAGAGTACTGGGACCCCTCCATTTCCCACCACCACAGCCTGAAGATGGAATGCACAGGTTAATGTGAGTAAAAGTATCACAAGAAAAATTCTGTGTGGCAATGTGGCTGGAAACAGATATCTTGTAGTCCTTCTAGAGGGAGACCTTCATCAACTACTGATTAGTGCAGAAAAATATTCTCCAATTCTTTTGATGTTGATCTTGTTTGTCTAGGATACTCTGGACAGTTGTAAGTCCAGAGCATCATGCACTTGCCTTGGACAGTATAAAAATGCAAATGAAGTCCTGAACTTATGACCTCAGTTCAGCACCACTGATTTAACACATATTAGGACATATACTAATTTCCTACCATAAATACTCACAAATCCAATACTTAGAAATACTTAATGCAGTGTGGTGTAAGTGACCTTTCATGTACTCAGTAAACTGACCTCACATCATGTGACCACTAGTGATGGGCTGAACACACCTGAGTTCAGTTCTAACTCGAACTTTAGAACATGGAAAAAGTTCTAAGTCGAACTTAGAACTCAATGTAAGTCTATAGGACCAGAACTCAGAAAATCAAATGTCCCCATTTTGAAGGCTTATATGCAAGTTATTATCCATAAAAAGGGTATGGGGATTCGGGTACTGCCCTAGGGGCATGTATCAATGCAAAAAACATTCAAAAAAAATACTGTTTTTAAAGGAGCAGTGATTTTAAAATTGCCTAAAGTGAAACTAAAAATGAAAAATTCCTTGAAATATCGTGCCTGGGGGGTCCCTTAAACTGCCTGTAAAGTGGCAGATCTGTGCAATGTATAGACCATGCTGCAGCAAAAATTACATTAATAAGGGGGAAAAAAGCATGTGGTTCCCCTTCCCAAACAATACCAGACCATTTAGGTCTGGTAGGAATGTTAGGAGGGACCCCATTTAAATAAAAACATGGGGTCCCCCTTAAATTCCTAACCAGACCCTTGATCCGAGCACAGGTCTGGCAGGACAGGAAAGGGGGGGGGGGGGGCGGCG